CAGAGTCTTCAAGTGAACTTTTGTTTCCAGTTTCCCAACTGTTCAGTGCAGTTAACATCTCCAACTCTGGGTCAGCACTTATTAGGGAAAGCACCCTTCAAGATGCATCCATGCTTTTCTCAAACTAAAACTTATGTGTTTACATGAACAAAGATTTTGAGGTAGACACTATTTTTCCTTTTAATGGGTTTGTGTGTAAACTACTCAGCTTCTAAGTAGATGTAAACAAATTGTTATCTAGTACTCTGAACACTTCTGCAGGATCCTAGCAATTCTGTTTCATGGTTTCCAGGACACTTGTCATAGAATCATAGAATAGGGTTGGAAAGGACCTTCAGATCATCTAGTTCTAACCCCCCTGCCATGGGCAGGGACACCTTATGCTAAACCATGTTACCCAAGGCTCTGTCCAACCTGGCCTTGAACACTACCAGGGATGGAGCATTCACAACCTCCCTGGGTAATCCATTCCAGTGCCTCACCACCCTCACAGTAAAGAATTTCCTCCTTATATCCAATCTAAACCTCCCCTCTTTAAGTTTGAACCCGTTACCCCTTGTCCTATCACTACAGTCCCTAATGAAGAGTCCCTCCCCAGCATCCCTATAGGCCCCCTTCAGATACTGGAAGGCTGCTATGAGGTCTCCACGCAGCCTTCTCTTCTCCAGGCTGAACAGCCCCAACTTTCTCAGCCTGTCTTCATACGGGAGGTGCTCCAGTCCCCTGATCATCCATGTGGCCCTTTTCTGGACTTGTTCCAACAGTTCCATGTCCTTTTTATGTTGAAAACAACCAGAACTGCACACAATACTCCAAGTGAGGTCTTGTCAACGAGTTCTTCCTCCTTCTACCTACTGCCTCTTATTAAAGCAATATGAATTAAGCAGGAAATACTAATTGAATGAAAACAGATGTGTACACTTCACAAATTGCCCACGAACCGTGTTTCAAATAGGGCTTGGGTTCTCTGCAGGTTCGGTCTACCCTGGATCCAGTTGATTTCACTTGTATTGGACTAGTGAAACTTTTGTCAGTCTTCAAATTGCTAAACTTGAAATATAAGAAAATCTGAAAATTAGCATGGCAATTCCTATCCTGTTTCTTCTTAATTTAAGAAAAAGCTCTGTCATTCAGACTTTTTTCATCTACCACTGTTAACCAAAGATAACAAGTAAGATGAAGAAGGAGGCAACAGCTGGAAAAGAAAAGCTGCAATAGCCCAACTAATTGTGTCTCTGATAAGCAGTGTGCCACTGCTGTCTCCCCTTCCTCTCTTCCTCCTCAAGCTTTTCTGTTTTCTGCCTGAACTCTTCCTTCTGGACTTCATTCATCCATCCACATATTTTTGTTAATAGCTGAGTACATGCTCTCTCTCAGCTGAGAATTCCTATTGTTCATTTACGTGGCACCCAGAAGAGGTCCCTGCTCTTTGACCAAGGCACTGTAATTAAAATCTTGATGCTAAATTGCTTTTCCAAGATACTACCACTCAGGGTCACATAAAACTGTATCAAAGGTAAAACCTATGGCCTCAGTTCTAACAACTAGAGAACAAAATAATTTTCCACTAAAATCTCTCTTCCCTCTTTAATTCTAATTTAAGATTTGCCATCTTGCCTTTCATCATACCAATCCTTTTCCTAAGCCGCTAACATTTGGTTCCAGAAGGCACTTGGTACAAGTTAAACATGATATTAAAAGAGGATTCTTAACTATAATCTCTGCTGTAGCAATAGAAATGACAAAAAAAGCCACCCAGCTTTGATTTGTGCTGTGTGGTTCAGTTGATACCCTGGAGGGAAGGAATGCCATCCAGAGGGACTTTGACACACTTGTGAGGTGGGCTGATGCCAACCTCATGAAGTTTAACCATACCAGGTGCAAGGTCCTACACCTGGGTTGGAGCAATCCCAGGCACAGCTACAGGTTGGGCAGAGAAGAGATTCAGAGCAGCCCTGCAGAGAAGGACTTGGGGGTGTTGGTTGATGAGAAAATGAACATGAGCTGGCTGCAGTGTGTGCTTGCAGCCCAGAAAGCCAACCGTATCCTGGGCTGCATCAAAAGGAGTGTGACCAGCAGGTTGAAGGAGGTGATCCTGCCCCTCTACTCTGCTCTTGTGGGACCTCACCTGGAGTATTGTGTGCAGTTCTGGTGTCCTCAACATAAAAAGGACATGGAACTGTTGGAACAAGTCCAGAGAAGGGCTGTGAGGATGATCAGGAGACTGGAGCACCTCCTGTATGAAGATAAGCTGAGGAAGTTGGGGCTGTTCAGCCTGGAGAAGGCTGCGTGGAGACCTCATAGCAGCCTTCCAGTATCTGAAGGGGGCATATAAGGATGCTTGAGAGGTACTCTTCATTAGGGACTGTAGTGATAGGACAAGGGGTAATGGGTTAAAACTTAAGCAGGGGAAGTTTAGATTGGATATAAGGAGGAAATTCTTTCCTGTTAGGGTGGTGAGGCACTGGAATGGGCTGCCCAGGGAGGTTGTGAATGCTCCATCCCTGTCAGTGTTCAAGACCAGGTTGGATGAGGCCTTGGGTGATATGATTTAGCATAAGGTGTCCCTGCCCATGGCAGGGGGGTTGGAACTAGATGATCTTAAGGTCCTTTCCAACCCTGATTATTCTATGATTCTAATTATTTTATGATTCTAAGTAAGCCACAGGGGCAGGCTCTGCAATACAGAAACATACACTACATGGGAGGGAATTATTTCAGATGATTAGAAACCATTCAGTGTAGAATTTGGCTGTGCAGCACCTCTGCTGTTTAATATTCCACATCAACTGTTTCTGTTTAGCATCTAAATGACAGTATAAAATATTTATGTAGATATTTTACCATTACAGGAAAACCACAGAATATGGGGAGATCCATGATCTCACAACAGAAGAACAGTTTGTAGAAGCAGTATACAGGGTTGAGTTTGACACCAGCTCTTACTGGAAGGGACTTGGGCTTTCTCCATTCCATGAATATGCTGATGTAAGTATCTGCAAATATGTCTAATAACCTGTATATAATGTAGTGGCATCAGTTGGAAAAAACAGCTGCAGTCCTTTAATACTGCAGGAGTGTCAAAATTCAGTGAAATGGTTCACTGCCACATAACATTGGGCAGATAAAGGCAATATACAACTGGCTAAGCCAAAGGAAGTAGCTGACTTCTGTGCACATACTGATACAGCTCTTCCAAATGGAGCTGAGCCCATTCACCCATTCAGACTAGTAGGGACCTTCGTTCAAAAAAAGCTACATTATTCGAAAGTACACAGTGTTTAAAAACAAAGGAGGCGGAAAAAGAAATAAAAAACTGCTTTTATTGTTGCTGAAGGAATACAGGGATTTGGAAAAAACAGTTTTATGGGAAATAAGCTATTCTTTAAGCAGATGTATTTTGCCCATATCAGCCTCTGGCAATCCCTGAATTCTAGTGTGACCTGTAATTATAGGAAAAGACAATTCTTTGTGATGTCCCTTCAAAAAAAGAAAAAGGAAAAAGGTGCTTATTACTGAGATATGCAATAGAAAAAAAGAAAAAAAAACAACCCCAAAAAAAGGCATAAAAGTATGAAGAAATAACCATAGTGGGAGCAGAAAAGTTGGCTGTTTCATCAATACTCAGATGTCACAAGTAGGCCAGCAATATAATCATGTCTTATGTCTCCCTTTGCTTTCAGCCCTGCACTGATTTATTGTGTGCTCTTCAAAAATATTGTTTTAATTATTCAGGCTTAATCTGCCATTAAATTTAAGATTCCCCAAATTAAGTAGTCTGGAATGGCTACAGTTTGTATTATAGAACATTTTAAACCCTAAGTTTATGAAGGTCTGTGAAGACTAAAACAGATGACTAAGGCCCATGTCCATAAAAGTCTGAGGTGCAGCTTGGGTCATTTAGGTCAAATAAACAATCCTCAAAAACATCCTCTAGCCACCTGGATGTCTGAAAGTTGCTGGGTCATACAGAAAGGCTCACCTCAAAAAGTGCTTAAAAGCACCTCTTTGAGACTGTTCCAGCTAGGCTGTTGAAGAAGACTTCCTTTGATGTAATAGCCCACAGGTCAACAAATTAACCTCGGAAGTGGGCAATGACTGACTGTGTCTGTGTACAAGGTAACGGGAGCCTACAGCCCTCATGTCCCAGCTGCTTAAGACTTTGGCGGGGCTGGGATGTAGGAGGGAACTCTAGTCCTTTTGTAGAAAGCATGTCATGGTTCAGAAAACAGATCAAATATTAGACTGAAGAGAGACAAAGAAAGTGGGAGCTTAAGCCTGGTGATGACACTTTCTTGGAAACTAGGTGTCTCAAGTTCCAGGGACTGATCTGGAGAGCAGCAAACCTGAATTATCTTAGGACAAGTGTTCTCCTTGTTCTAGCAAGTCTAGACACACAGTTCTTAATGCAACAGCTGACCCATCACCAGCTGTGTTAAAAATAGGAGTGAAGCATGGAAGTACAGAAAACAGCATCGGCCTCCAACAGCCCACCTTGCTTGGACACCTCACACAGAGAGGTTGCATTTAAGGTCACTAGATGGGATTTCATCTCTCTGTCTTTCTTATTGGTTTTTTGAGGTACCTCCCCCTCATCTTCCCATTCCACATCACTAACTATTTTGGCTGACTCGTGTGTAGGTCTCTACATTTAAATTCACTGCAGCCAAGGCTCTTTGTGATCCTCACTCTAGATCTTTTCTCAGTCTTCAGCAAGTACCACGAAGTAAGGGGGAGCATTACACTTCAGAAGGGCAAAATCACTGACTGGACAGAACAGGCAAAGTATTTTGCAGAGGAAACGGAGTGCGCTTCTTTATTCTTACTAAGGTAGTTTTGAACATACATTGCTCATTGTGATCACAAGTTTTCTCTTTTCCAGGTGGTGTTCACTGCTAATGATTCTGGTCACCGCCACTATACCATTGCTGCTCTCCTCAGTCCTTTCTCTTATTCAACCACTGCTGTTGTCACTGATCCCAAGGAATAAACATGTACTGTCGTTACACAAACTCCCTCCTCCACTAGAACTATAGTAGGCTTTTAGGAGGAAGGTTTTTCCTACTGCTAATGCATAACTTTTTGCTACATTAGGTTTTTTTTTTCCATTTTGTAACCTGGCAAACTTCAGACAAGTCAATAAAATATTACTTCTTTAAAACAGTTTTGATTCTATAGGTGAAGTTTTATTGTGTTCTAAGGTGTCATGATTTACATTCAAGTGCAAAGGACATCTGGAAAATATGCATGGCATAGCACTTGAATTGGTTCTGTTATCTTCCTCCGCTACCTCAAAAAAAAATCTCACCACATGCACTGGCTCAAAATAAGAAAGATATAAAATTGTATTACCTTAAAAAATTTTGACCAAACACACATACTCAAGAAAGTCATCCATGCTACTCACAGTTTACACACAGAAGAGATGGTCAGGCTATCAACTGGGTCACAAGGTAAACAGGAGAAATTCTGAATAACTAGCAGCAGAATAAACAATGCTGAAGGGCTGTTTGAAATATACACATGCAGAGAACTGAAGGAGTTAAAAATCTGTGTACCTTTACTTAAAACTTCAGGTAAGCCTCAATACTTTGTCTTTTCAGGGGGAAAATTTGCTGCTTAATCAATGTAGGAAGTTCTGAAGCTATTTCAATTAGCACCATTTTTAATAACTTTGATCTTTAACCCTGTTGGCTCTTTTTCAGATGCATTTCAGTTAAACCTCTAATAAATCAAATCTCCATCTATCATTTTAAAAAAAGTCCTAAAATAAAACCAACATCTTAAATTTCTCTTTATATTTTTAGAAACAGGAAAAGGTAAGCTGTAGAGTGACTGTGATTCAAATAATATTGTTGATAAACTGACTGAAGACTTCAAGGGCTTTCACAGTGATTTCTACAGACTCACGGCCTACTGTGTTTAAAGTATCATAAAGCACAGGAATTACTTTTTTTAACAGGATTACAGAAACTACAGAGATAGTTACTGAAATCATGCCATTCAGAAACTATCAGCCTTCACCTGCCACTGACATTGGAGTTTACCTCTACATATACAGCCTTCTGGAATGACTGCATACCAAATAAATTCATAACTTCTAAAAGCTTGCCTTTAACATTTCACTATTCAGTTACTTTGTTCCCTGATTTCTGGACACTACCACAGTTATGCAACTCCTGTAAGCAGTGCAAATAGTTTCAAAACAGCACCCGTTTTAAGGTATGCAGATTTCATGGGGTCCTGCTGTTCCTGGGGCTTGAAAACCAGTAGGTTTGATTTGCAGTGGCTTATGCCCAGCCCTCAAAATAGGACATATGTTTACGTATGTGTAGTAATTCAAAAACCCAAAACCAAATAAAAAATCTACTCTGCACACATCCGTTCATCTGGCAACAGGATAAACCTAGCAAGAGAGTGAACACACATGTGTCTAACCAAAGATCAGAAAGGCAAAGTTTAATTTCAAGAAGTAACATTTCCCTAAATTGAAGCAGATGCTTCTGGTGGGAGCTGACTTGAGTTGTACTTGAACTTGTACTGAATCCAAGGGAGAAGTGAAGTGACAAGACTTAAACCACTGTTTAACTATGCTTCAGAAATGGGTATGTAGGTATCTGGTTATCATGCTGGAAATGGAAGTATTATTTTTTCTTGAGAGGAATGCATAAGGTAACTACAGCCCACACATTATCCACTTACTTTTCATGAGAGGTGGGGAGAAGGCCACCATAGAGGGAAATCTCTTAACTGATAAACATGGGTGAGTCAATTAAGCCAAGCCACAGAGAAATTCTCACTGAAACTGAAATTGTCAAGAAATTTGTATTGCTCTTCATTGTATGAGGTCTTTACAGCACTGATTCCTCAACAGAGACAAACATAATAAACATTGTTTCCAAGAAAATAAATATACTGCAGTTGAGCTAGGCAATATTCACAATACTTCCATAGGCAATGGTAGCAGACACATATTTTTGCAGACAAGGTTCATGTTTGTATGGGTTACTTATTTTCCCATTGTTTACTAAGTAAATAGAATGAATCAGTATGTTGAAAGTCATATGGGTTTTCTGATAAGTAGCCTCAGTTTAGAGGCCTTGATATAAAAATCAGAGATCCCAACAGTTTCTACTTGCTGACACTGAGACTTCCTAGGGGTAGGCAAAATGGCTTTTCATTCTGTATTTCTCGTTTTCTTAGCTGGCCTGGCATTTGTCTCCGAAGCTGCACCACTGGTAAGTGTCTCAGGATTGAGGTCCTTCATACTATGTAGTCCCAGATTTTCTTTTTTATATATACTTTAATTCTTACAAATGAAAAATAGATTATTCTATTTTACTGCAATTCTTTTGATTTCATCAACTGTGGTTCTCTCCTACTGCTCTTTTTCTGGTCCTTCTTTCCCCTGTGCTAGTGACTAGTGAGAAGGTTACAGAAGCAGCACTTGTCATTAGACTCAGCTACGTCAAAAATAATGTGAAACTTGAAAAGAAAAAAATATCTTAATCACTACACAAAAGCCTTGGGCCTGTTGAAAAGAAACTAACAGCCCTTATAATACAATAACCAAAATCCTGTTGTGAGGGATTTCATTTCTTCTGGTGAGACCCATGCTGAGGAAATGCCTTCTCTAGTCCTCTCCCTTTCTACTCTACCCACTACAGTTCTATCCCAAGCAAGCAAGAAGAGATATCAACACTCATTGATGCAAGCAAAGAACAGAGCCAAACCCAAGATCACACTTCCAGAGAGCTCATTTATTCCAGCAAGGCAAGCCAGAGACATATGCTTCAGCCTGGAATTCTTCTAAAATTGACTTGTCTGTCTCCCTTCCTACTCATCCTCTCCTGCTCTGATCTTTGGGAAAATAAATACCTGACCTGTGAGGAAGCAGATTTCCACTGAGCTCCCAGGGTATAAAAACCAGGAAAATAAGTAGTGGAATTAGAGCCCCACCTTGCCAATGCCTTAGAACACTAGTGAGGAGCCTCTGCATTCCAGAAAGGTAATGTGAGGAGTCTGGGCATACAGGCAGTATAGACACATGCAGATACATTGGTCTGATATAGGGCAGGGTTCCTGGCTGGTGGGGAACTCAATAGATCACAGACTGTAAGACAGAACATAAGAGAGGGCTCTTAGTTTTTAACATCTACATCACAATTTATTTTGTAATGATTAAATGGAGATCAATGATTGCTATTCTGAGATCATCGCTGATTAGCACCTTCCACAAAGCTCTATTTTCTCACTTTTCACGTACAGACTTAGGTAATGGAAGGTCAAAGTCCTGATTCAACTCCACTTTTGAGTAGGTAAAACATAAAGGCATAACCATTGCTTGCGATTAACATGCTGGGAGTGAAACTACAGCCACCCCATCTTGGAGGGAAGGTTTTCCTCTCCTACCCCTGCACAACTGCCAGGGGGTGACAAATCTGATACAACATAAGGAGAGGCTCCTTATGTGGTGCTTTTCAAATTTACAGGAGAATGAAGATAACTCCATGGCAACAAGACATCACAGTCTCTCAAATGCAGAAAGCTGTGCTTGAATTACCACTCCAAAATAAAGAGTTGATAGATTTCTAAACATTCCTACTACTTTTGGTGATTTAATTATTTCCCGTTGAGGTCACAATCTAGTTACAACTTCATGCTGGAGATGATGTGTACTTAAGCCATGCAAATAGAAAACACAAGTGTGTACTCACACACAGCCGCAGTGCCTCCCCAGTGCACATAGCTACACTCCTGACGGCTCCTGACATCTTTCTTCCTAGTTCCACACAGTATCCAGCCCCCAGAATGCTTTAGGCTACATTTGTGCAGTACACCTTGTTCTTGTTCAGAAAAATACGGTATACTCTATAGATCTAAAGAATAATAGTGCTTACTGCTTTATTACACATCATTGAGAACCCTTCTTACAATACAAAAATTCTCTCTTCCTCTCTGAAGGACTCTGCTGACTCCAAGCATCCTCTTTTTATAAAAATTCTGGATTCAGTCCGAGGAAGTCCAGCTCCAAATGTTCCAGTTAAGTTATATAAAGAAGCTGCAGATGGATCTTGGGAACTGTTAAACTCAAAGTAAGTAATACCAAAATAGTGAGTGAAAGAAGGGAAAGGCAATGGGAAGAGGCCAAATAGTTGAAAAATCAGCTTCACATTCTCTAACATGTCTTTTTTTTATTCAGAGGAAAGTAACATACTATTGAACAAATTTGCTGCTGTCTTTTAACTGTACTACAGTTTCAACTACCAAAATGGTTTTATAATGCTTTTATAATTACTCTGAGCCCAAGAAAGTATTCTAAAATACCCTTTAATTCAATCATCACTTCTTTTCAATTTCATTACAAAGGATTATATTACTTTTTAGTACCCAGCAATGAACTGCTGCATTGTTACCAGAAGAATCAGGCAGATTCTTAGGGTTTTTTTAAACTAAGACTCGGGTTGAGTATCCTACCTTTACTGGCTGTTTTCCTTCTTTCAAAATGGATTTTCATTTAATCAACACCACAGCTTTAGCAAGAAAACATGAAACTCTTTTGAACATATACAACCTCATATTTGATAGCCACCTTTAATTCAAAAACAAGGAATCAGCCAAAGGAGAAAATCTGGCGACAAAGCTTCCTCATCTCCTCCCCACAGAAAAGAAATTACATTTAAAACGAAAAAAATAATCTCCCAGATATTTAAATGCTGCCATATCTTAAAAAAAAAGGAATTGTGGAATTTCATATGTAGATAACTTTTAAATAGTGGGACTCCAGATGCATTTCTAGACAGTCCGTGAGAAACTGTACGCAAGTGGCTCTTTGGTGTTATAAAGCAGAAGGCTGGCAGAAACGACAGTGCTCTCATATGTGTCCCTGAAAAACAGCCATAGTGAAGGCCGCACGTACTTGTACAAGGTGGGGAAGAACAATCTATTCACATTGTCCTACTTAAATCACCTTCCACCCCTCAAGTGAGCAGATAGCTTCACACATATTCTGTCACTGGAAATACACGAAATCTTCTATTAAGAGGGTGTTTAGTTTATCTTCATTCAACTCTGAACTTAGAGGCTTTATATAAAGATACTGGGCCGAACAGCTAGATGTTGACTAAAGCCATAAAAACATCCTTAACATTTGAAACAAAGAACAAAGTAACCTTAAGATAAGGTGCGCAAACATTGTGATAATACTAAATCAACCTCTCCAGCCTTCTTAATTTGTAAATAACTGAATTTTAACAAGAGATTCTGAAATAACTGTTCTCAGTTAAAAATATGTTTGGGTTTAGTTGAAAACGCTTATTAAAAAAATGAAAATTTATCTAATAATGACCAATCTACAAAAATAGAGACATTCAAATGGATAAAAAAAGTCTGACAACTGACTACAGAGCAACTTAGAAGTTACAAGTGCTATTCTATGACTCACATGCTACATTAAAGTACAAATCTTAAGTAATGCATTGGACAATGATATCAAAAACATTGAATTCTTAATTTTTTTATGCATGCAATTTGAATAAAATATGTTCAGAAAAGATATGGCAGCCAGAACACAAAACAGTGGCTTGTGACTACTAAAATCAGACACTAGCAATGGATAACCTACCCAACCAAAAACCTAGGATTACATAATTTATTTCACAGAAATAGGTTTCAACCAAGAGACATGTTTAAGAGACAGAATTCAATATTGGTTCTGGAGCCCTAAATTGGTTGGTGTTCAAAGGTGCATCATTTCAAGGCAGAACTATGGCCTTGGATAGCATTGATAGCATCTTCAAATAAAACAAAACCATCTGTTTGCCAAGGATGGAAAATCAACTGATCAATACAGACAACAGGGTATTCCATAAGGCTATGTTGGCTGACCTCCAGTAATTTCAAATAGCAGACTTCAAATTTCAAAGAGCCAATTGTAGAGAAAAATTTATACTCAATACATCTAAATAAGAACAGAAAAATCAAGAGTTGACCCTACTTACTTGCACAGTAAGTGCACCATAGAGCTCCTGCATTGCTTACAACAGTGGCAAAGCTCTCCCTCTGAGTGGCTAAATTTAATTAACTCCAAGACCCTGTCAAGAGTCTATGAACAATAACGTCAACTTCTGGCTCACCCTCAAGCCATACAGCGTAGTGACATGGCAGGCAGGCAGCCAGCTGCTGTGGCAATGGTGGATATAACAAATGCCAGGATAAGCTCTGAAGCATCCATAATACAGATGGACATACGCCATTCCAGACCAATAGAAGTATTTGTCATGTTACTTAAGCTACACA